GCCTATGCAAACATCACGTTCATCGAAGTAGGCATGATTCGAGGACATGTCGCGCTTGCAGCTGAGAGCGGGGAGGTCGTTGCAGTGTGCACGGGGCTACTTGCCCGCAGTGTGGCTCATGTCAGTCCGGCTCCTGACGATGCGGAGATGTTTGGGGACTTGTACAAGATATCTTGGCTGAAACAAGGGCTCGCTTCGACAACCGCAGGCAGGTTTATTTTAAGTTTGGAGGCGCAGGCTTCTGACGAGGACACGCTGAGGACAGAGGAGGAAGGGATGAACTTTCTTGCCTTCCGATGTTGGCGAGAGCTGCCTGCCGAGCAGCAAATCCAACGCCTGGAGCTTTGCTGCGCAGAAGTGTTGGACACATTGCAGCGGGCAGCCCGCGAAGGTGTGCCGTGGCAGGTGATTGTTGCTGGCAGCGGCCGGTTTGCGGAGGCTTGCTTCAGCGCTGCAGCCAGCATGCTGCGCAGTGCCCAATGTGAGCAGGAGCTTCATGTGCAGGCGCCTGGCGGCTGGGGTTTGAGTTTTTCAAAGTTGTTCAGACTCTAGAGAAAAACGAAGACCACCTAGTATCGTCTTGGGTTGCGTAAGCTTTTGCCTTTGACGATCAGGTCGTGCTGGTGGAGGCCAGTGGCTGGCGGGAGGTGGAGACTGCCCTCTCCGTGGTGAGCTTGCCGCCAGCTTCTGAAGAGCCCATCTGCCGCGTGGTGGCCGCGACAGTGGAAGTACCCCGGCTGGAACGGTGGCGTGCCGAGTTGGTGCAGGACGGTGCGATCGGCGTTCGCATCGGCGGCCGCTACGTGATCACTGGTGGCAGTGGCGGATTGGGAACGGCCTGTGCACAGTGGCTCCTGAACCAAGGTGCCGGCTCCTTGATACTTCTTTCCCGCAGGCGCCCGGCCACATGTGATGGAGCTTGCCCGGCCGAGTGGCTTGAATGCGACGTCTCCTTGCCCTCGGCTTTGCAAGAGGCCATAGACCAGATACGGACAGGGGGCCCCGTACATGGCATCATCCACGCCGCGGGAGTGCTCGCCGACAAGCTGCTGGCAGAACAGACACCAGAAGATCTCCATTCCTGCATGGCCTGCAAGATCGTCCCCGCTTTGCTCCTGCCGCAGCTCGAGTGCGAGGATTGGATTGTGAACTTTAGCTCCGTGAGCTCTGTCTTGGGGAGTGCCGGGCAAGTTGCCTACAGTGCCGCCAACGGCTGCCTCGATGGGTTGGGCCAGGCAGCTCCCGATCGTGCTCCACGTGTGCTGACGATCCAGTGGGGCCCATGGGCGGAGGCTCGGTGAGTGTTGAGGGCTGTTGTGGTACGTTGTGGTGACCGCATTCTGTGAATACTCTGTCCGTCAGTTCTTGGCTTGCACGTGTTTTTCGTGGGTCTGAGGCAGGCATGGCTGCTAGGCCGCAGGCCCTGCGCCGGGCGCAGCAGCACGGCTTCGGTGCTTTCACGAATTCCCAGGGCATCGCAATCTTGGAGCAACTGTTGACTCGTAATGTGCAGGGCCAGCTGTGTGCAGTCCAAGTCAGCTGGGATCAGTTCCAATGGCCGGGCCACGCTGCTCTCACATCCCGCTTGCGTGTCCAGCCACGACCAATGGTGGCTACAACGGAACCCCAGCAGCCAGAAGTCAGGCCCTCGGCGAGTGAGCTTTGACTTTGAATGGAATTCACTAGCCACCAATGCAACCCTCTCATGCTTCCTTGTGTAAGGCGAGATCACTTCTCCACAGGCTCCTCAGCGAGCTACTGGAACAGACGCCAGAGGCCGACCAGCCACTGATGGCTGCGGGGCTGGATTCTCTTCTGGCGGTAGATCTCGCAAACCAGATTTCCTCGCAACTTGGTCGACGGCTGCCGCCCACCTGGGCCTTTGACCACCCAACCGTGAATTCTATGGTGCGTGAGCTGGCCGAAACGAGAGCGATGCGGATGGAGACACTGCCAGAGCCAGGCAGGGCAGCATCATCTGTGACTGTGTCATCTGCGAGATGCCTGTTACCCAGCTGCCCCAGCTTCCTTGAGGGCGAGGACTGCATGGTGCGAATGCCTTATGCCCGCATGGATCTCGATGCTTGCTTTGACGCTGCGGGCTCGCAGGGCATGTCTTACACAATGCATGCTGCATGCGTGGCCGGGGTCGAGCTCTTCGATGGTGAGCACTTTGGAATCAAGCTTCCTGAAGCCAGCATGATGGACCCGCAACAGCGGCTGCTTTTGCAGGCGGCGAGGGCAGCGGGCTGCGATCAGCTTAATGACTCAGAGGCTGCCGTTGTCATTGGGCAAGCGAATCACGACTGGGCATCAGAAGCCCAATCTTCCAGTCCTTTTCTTGGCACGGGCGTGTCGCCTGCCATTACGAGTAATCGCATTAGCTTCCATTTCTGTTTGAGAGGACCAAGCATGACCATTGACACGGCTTGTTCATCCAGCCTTGTAGCGCTGGCAGTGGCCCTGAGCCTGCCCGGCCCTGCACTGATGGGTGCCACGCATGTTATGACGAGCACCCTGCCATTTATCGGCTGTTGCCAAGCTCAGATGCTATCTAAGCGTGGCCGCTGCTTCACCTTCGATGC